AAGCTACCATTCAAAAATCGTTGTTTTAAGTACTGAGTCATTAAGTACCATTAAGTAATGGTCTCCATTAGCATATTTAGAATTATAAACAGATTCACTCTTCATATTTCTAACTTCATATACAGCAATGATCCATGCACAAAAATAGGATATACAAATTGTAACTGTAAAATTGGTGTTATATGACCTGCTTCGCATAAAGCATCTCCGAGTTATACATATTCATATCCACAAGCCAATTTTCATGAAGTAGCAGGGGCATGACATTTATCTCACTCAGTTTCCTGCCCTTGTAGGGGACACTGCCACTGGTGCCCTTAGTCCCTTCTGTTCTCTGCCTGTAGCACATAATAATTTGGTCTCATGAGAGCTGTAATAACTGGGTCTAATTTCAGTTGGTGGGTGTAGTGTGCAGGTGGTGGGTGGTGTTGGTGCCCTCTGGTTTATAAGTCAGTTTGGATGATCTGATGGTCCCATCTGGCCTTACATCATGACTCTAGAAAACCATATCCCCTCTTAATTTTCAGTTGCTTGACTTTGTGATGCCATCACTTCACTAGTCCTCCAGGCTCCATGGAATCTTTCAGGGCAGGCAAGACCTGAATTACTAAAGTAAAATACAGGTAACCCCCTTCATCCTGCAATTGTTTATTAAATGACGCCCCTCCCCCCAAAGCCATCACCACTATTCAGTTTTCTGTGTACATCATCAAGAAACATAATAGGGCACAGGCATGGTGTGTGGGCGTATGCACATGTGGTCCTTTTAATGTCTCCTTGGTGCAATGCAGTGCTTATGCAGCAGCTGATTAATGAGAGCCTACTTTGGAGTGTCCCCCCCCCTGAGGAATGTATACAGTACATTACCCATTTTTAAAGACACTTCAGAAGTGATCTTCAGTGCTCTGTGGTCACTGAGGGTATGTCTCCTCTAGCTTGGTAGTTCGAGCTAGGTAGGCAAATGAGGGCAACTGGAGTTGCAAATAAAGCCTGGGATTTAAATATCCCAGGCTTCATTTGAATCTTCCTGGGCGCCGTCATTTTTAAATCCCCCTTAGTACAAACTCCGTGCCCACGGCTACACACGGCACGGAGTAGGTAGTTCGAATTAGGATCTCTAATTCGAACTACTGGTATACCTCAATATTTAAATCCCGGGCTTCATTTGCAACTTCAGTTGCCCTTATTTGCCTACCTAGCTTGAACTACCGAGCTAGTGTAGACATACCCTGAGTCTTTTTTGCTGGTGCTATGTTGGAGCCCCCTACTGAAATACTCTATCAGGGGTAGGGAACCTCAGGCCTAGTGGCTGGATATGGTCCCTGACTTGCCTGGATCTGGCCCCTGAGGCTCTGGGTCCCCCCTCAGCATTGGGGAGTCTGTGCTGGCACTCCAGCCCCTCCCCCCACTCTCTCTCACTTGTGTGCAGCCTCCCCGACTGATTTTTCTTTCAGGGGCCCCCAACTAAAAAAAGGTTCACCACCCCTCTATGTAGTCTAGGCACTGGAGCAACTGTCCTGCATGGATTCTGTATCTGGACAAGCTCTTCCACGTAATCAATAGCTGTAAGTGGCTAACATACTGCGGGAGACAGTAACATTAATTTACTCTGGTTTTAGTTTTACATTTTTTTCTGAGAGTTTCCAACATTTCACCTAAACATGTTAGGAGTTTCAAAATAATCCAAAATGTGACATCTTGAAAGAAAGCATCTATTAGCCCCCAAATTGCTGCCCCCCCTCCCCCGTTTTGCACTGACTCTTGTCACTAGTACCAAAACCGTTTTAGGTCAACAATGAAGTTCTCAAAAAGAAGCATATAGTTTTAAGGTCAAATTAAAAAAGCCAGATTTATTATGTTAAGCCACTTAGCAGACAGCAATAACCTATCTAGCAACTGCTAATTAATAGAACGGAACATTCCATTTGCAACAATCCTTTCCCCATAACTACAAAAAAAATAAAAAATTAAAGCACTATTTACAATTACATGCCATCAGGCAGTGGTAGCGCAACTGTCAACTTGTCACCTAAAAAGTTGCTGTAGAGAGCACCTCTAATGGTACAAGTAAGTCTGCTTTTGTTAGCAGCTGCTGAGTCCTGCAACCTTAGGACCCTGACCATAGCCATCCTGCGGCTTCCTCTGTCTGATCTGTCCCCTCCCTTTGGAACACTTCCTCTTTGCTTTCAAAAACATTGTGCAATACAGAGCAGACAGAAACCAAACAAGGGGCAAAGTCAAAAACATTGTTCCTTTTCAGCAGGCATCTCCATCTTACCTTCATCCTTAGAAAGGCACATTCAGTGACCATACTGCTCTTGCTGAAGCAGTAGTGAAAACAATACTCAAAAGTGGAAGCATGTGCTCCAGATGACATAACCAGAACACAAGTGTCATAAACCAAGGGAACAATAGGTAAGCAGCATTTCACACTCTCTCAAAGGTATGTAAGAATTACCAGATCACAGATCAGTGGTCCTATCTCAAAAGGTGTAAAAACCGCTATAGTAGACATTTGTGGAATAACCGCCCATTGGGGAAATTTCTTCCTAACCCATCGGTCAGTGGTTGACTTATATTCAGAAGCAAGAGAGGTTATACCACTTATAAATTAAGTTGATCATACCTAGTATAACTGTTTGTGTGCTCTTTTCTACAGGATGGCCGGAACAGTTTTTCTAGTAGGGGTGCTGAGAACCACTGAACCAAACTGAAAACCCTGTATACACTGGAAACCACTTCGAGCCTGGGGGTGCTGCAGCATCCCCCACATCTGTAGTTACAGCACCTATGCTTCTCTCTCAGTGTCTAATTCTTAGTTGTGTGGTAAGTACAAACTATCATTACTCTTAATGAAAAGTGTAGCTTCTTGCCACATCAAAAAACACTAACATATTTGTATCTGAATTCCACCACTTCAGCCCAATATAGGTTAATCAGTTAAAATATCTGAGGGGAAGGAAAACAGATGAGGAACACTGTAAAGTTTGTGTTAAACCCTGTTTCAGTGAAAACTTCATATAAAGAAGAAATATTGTCCATTCCGAAAATATTTTCCAGATGTCTTACTAGCACATTCCAATAATGCATACAATACCAGTGACAGGGAGGAGGCACAGGAAAAACGGGCTGGACAAGGTTTTGGTAAACAATTAGTTCCTGTAATGAGCTCTCACACACCTGCCCCCACAGGAAGAGGTTTTTCTGGCTCAGAACATATTCTAGCTGACACATTTGAACATTTTCTGACGTTATGCGTTATACAGCTTGCTATTAAACAGTTATTGATTTTTTTCAGGTTTCACAAGTAAAACATTAACTATGCAACCACAAAGGCAAAGGACTGGAGGGGAAAACAGAACGAAGGAGACAACCAAAGTCAGCAAAGGGGACAGAGACAGAAAAGAAACCAATAGCAGGTGTATTTACAGTGGTCATAGTTCTGAACTGGACATGTCATAATAGTGATACCTTACATTATTAGTGTGCCTTTAAGTCCTGTATACTTTTTTACATATGGCATCACTGAAATATAGTCAGCTCTTGGGTGAAGGTTGGTAGCCTAGTAGCCAGCAAGAGAGCAATGCTAACATCAAAGAACATTTTGGTTAAGGACACACTAGAGAAAAATATCAGAGGGGTAGCCGTGTTAGTCTGAATCTGCAAAAGCGGCAAGGAGTCCTGTGGCACCTTATAGACTAACTGCAGTGTAAGAGCATAAGCTTTCGTAGGCAAAGACCCACTTCGTCAGATGCACTAGAGAAAAATGTTGTTCATATGGAAAGTGTCATATGATTAAAGTCTACATAGAGCAAATGGATCTTGGGTTTTAAAGTCTTGACCAAAATACACATTACATGTAGACAATGATCTGGAAAGAACATGATTAATCTGGCTCAGACGGAAGAAAGGCTGAAGTAATCAGGTAGAATTAGGTCCAGCAAGACTAGAGGTAAAATTTTCAAAAAGCACTGAAGTGTCTCAAGGACAGGCCTCTAGAATTCTAAATTTTATTGCCTTTATGACAGAGAGGCTCCTAAGTGCCGTTGTAACCTAGGTACTTCTGAAAAATTTACTTAACGACATTAAAGGGAAAATGAGACACTGAATAGGGCTGGTCCGAACCACTTCCCCAAGCCTTCCTCCCTAAGTGAGGGTGGCATTATGGCTTGCCTGTGCCCTGCTTGCTCCTCTGCTCCCTCAGAGACTGCTGTCACCCTCGAGCCCTGCCTGTGCCTGGCTTTCCCCCTATAAATTCCTCTGAACCCCACACTTTTTGTCCCGTTTGCTCTTGCCAACTGATAAGTGCAAATGGGACAAACTCCCAATCTTGCAAAAAAAAAGTCAGGACAGGGTTTTAAAAAGGGACTGTCCTGTCCGAAACGGGACACACGTGGTCAGCCTAAGCTTCAGGCTTATATCTAAACTTTCCCTTCCTTGTGCATGAAGAAATACAGTCCCAAGCAGAGGGCTTCCGTCTAAGCAGGTGATTGAATATGTCCAGCAAGTCTTTAGATGCCAGAAAACCACCCGGAGACCTCGGCAGATCTTTTCTCGGGGAAGACGGAAGGTGGCACTTTTAACCCCTCGCTTTAACTCCAGGAAGGCACGGCAGCGGCGGGACGGCGGCAGCAGCACCTGCACCAACAGGCTAGGGAGAGGGGCGAGCTCCGCAGAGCCCCGGCGACTTCCCAAGGGCCCAGTGAGTCGGCCCCCTCTCACACCCAGCCCCGCCGCCTCTCTGCCAGCAGGCAGCCGCATAGTGCGCAAGGACCGGGCGGCACCCGGCCCCCGCCGCGGGTCCCAGGCAGGGCAGAGGGGAAAGGAGCCGCACGCCGCATGGCACATGCGCTGGCGGTGCACCCTGGGAGCTGTAGTTCCTGGCGGTCTGCGGCCCGCGCTGCGCCGTACAGGGGGCGGGGAGTGATAACCTACAGCTCCCAGGGTGCGGAGCGACCCGTTTCTCTCCTCCTCCTCCCCCCGCCCCATATGAATGACTAATACAACATGTTGTCCGGCGGCTAACGTGCCCCGAGGAGCAGCAGGGCTCCGCTCGCGTTTGCTTCTCCTCCCCCCCCCCGCGGCGGCGCCAGAGCCCTCCCCCCACCCGGGGCGCTCACGCTCCAGCGGCGCCCACCAAGTAAGTCAGCCGGGGGGGGTGGGGGCTCAATTCTCCATTCATGCTCGTCCGGGCTGAATGCACCGAGGCGGCTGCCCGGACGGCTCCGCGGCGGCGGCTGCTGCACGCTGTTGCCATGTTGCAGCGGGTCGGCGGGCTCGGGCAGGTTGGACCGCGAGGTCCGTGCAGCAGCTACGCTGTGCCTGTCTGCTACAATGTGTCCTCGGATCCGGAGGGGGTGGGGGGATGTCACATTTGTTCCTCCCGCTTCCCCCTATTCCAGGCTCTTGGCAGAGATTTTGCCAGGAGGGGAGAGCCAGGATATCCGCCTTTGCTTCCCCCCGCCCCTCCACGCCACCCCAGGATACCTCTGCTAAACAGGTTTCACTCCAAAATGTTGCCTCCCTTGGTGATTCTCTCCCTGAAGTGGGCTACTTCTTTGGGCACAGGGAGTGCGTCTGAAGGAAGAGTTCAGACAATGCCTTAGTTGCAGAGTTCTTTGATCAGGAAGTTGGTAGCATATGGGGGTGGGGGACTGAGAAAATACCCTGAGACTTTTGTAATCTTTCCTGGGGCCTTGTCACAAGACAGAAACTGACCATACCCCGCTATTTAAAGTGTGTGTCACAAAGTACGTGTCTAAAGTAAAAGAGTCTTCTAATCGCTTCCTGCTCAGCCCTCTATCAACTGCATCATTCCTTTTCCAGGTAGTGGGGGTGGCTCAGATAACTAGGCACTATAATTACTAGAAAGTTTTGTGCAATGTACTGTTTACATGTATGAGCAGTGGGAGAAATCTTTCCAGGGGAGAAATCCCTCCACAAGCAAAATTGCTTGGCATCATTTTCTTAGTCAGCAAAATTCTGGAGCTTTGTGGAGAGAGTTAGGTTTTTAACAGACTTCAAAAGAAAATCAGACTTCCCCATCTCATTATGTAGTGGAGAAAATAACTGAAAATCAATATTTGGGTTAAAATAAGCTGTAAGTCTTAAGTTATATGTGAGGACATCAAATGTGATGAAGGTGCTCTTACCGATGAGTGTGAATAATCAGACAGAATGGCTGTCACTTTGCTTTGTTGATAGTAAATCTTGGTGAAGTAACATGTTCTAGGGCAGTGGTCTCCAACCTTTTTACACCCAAGATCACTTTTTAAATCTCAGAACAGGTGAAGATCTACTGCCCCCCCCCCCCCTTGAAGCCCCGCCCTCGCTATTCTCTTCCTGTCCATCACTTGCTATCCGCAGCCCTTACTTACCCCCTCTGGTAAACAGTTTATTTTTAAATTATGCGATATATAAAATTAAAATCACGTGTTTATAGTTATGAAATAAATGGTCTGTTTTTTATTCATGCTATTTAAATCTAAAATGAAGCATTTATAATTATACATTTTGTGGGGACAGAGTTCTGTGGCTTGGGACAGGGGAGTGGGTCTGGGGAGCAGGGAGTGCAGACAGGGCTTCAGTGGAGCAGAGAGTCCCCTGCATCTGCCTCCTCCCAGTATTCTCCCCACCCTCAGAGGGAAGCCAGCACGTGCCTCCTCTGGGCCCAACTCCCCTCCCACCCCCGCGAGCGACTGTTCAAGGCCTCACAATCAACCAGTCGATCACGATCGACGGGTTGGTGACCATGGGTCTAGACGCACTCACAGTGTCCACTGGGATACTGCTCAGTTTCACTAGATGTCACTAGATAGCATCTGCACTACAGTAGTTATGCCACTGTAGATACTATGGCACGGCCCAGCCAACCTCCTCCCCTCCTGTGGCGCAGGGAAACCCCTGAGCTTGACTCACTCCTCCGGTGCTGGTGGTGCAGGGAAGCAGCCACACTTCTCCTCCAGGGCCAACACTCCCCTCCCCTAGCATGCAACAGAGCTGTGGGAGGGGAGCAGCCCGCGTACTTCCGGAACCCCTGGAAGGGATATGGGCTTCAGACAGGACTTCCGTCCACGTCCTAGAGGAAGGTAGTGGGGCTTCTCGAGGGTAGGGGGAAAATGGGGGGTGGAGGTGCCTGAACGCCTCGTGATCGACCAGTTGATCGCAATCGACGGGTTGGTGACCACGGTTCTAGGAGGTAGTAACTCTAGTCCAGGATATGCCACTGCCTTGCTAGATGGCCTGGTGGAAGTTGCTTTAAACTATTTTTGCTTAAGTTCCCTCTTTTTCTAAAATGGAGATAATAATCTTTAGTTCAGAGTGGGACTTTAAGCATTAAAAGCAACATATATAAAGGAGAGGGGAAAAAGCCAATTCCTCTTCTACCTGTCTCCTGAGCTGTATTCAGAATCAAAGCAACATGAAGCATTTAAAAAGGCTTGTTTTGTATATCCTAGATTTGTAGTGTCCAAAACCAGAAGGGACCACTGTTGTCATCTAGTCTGATTGCCTGTACAACACAGGCCATTGGTCTGTGAACTTCCTCAGCATAATTCCTAGAGCAAGAAAGGGCATAAACCCAATTTAAAGTGAAAACTCATTAAGACAGTGGTGCTGCATGTGATTGCACAAATCCTTGTATACATTCCCCTTGGTTTCAGTAGATCTTCATCCTAGTGCATGAGTTTGTGTTAACAGGCAGTACTGTATGGCAGGATCAGCGTCTTGGTGGTTATGTGGTGATTTGAAAACAAAAAATGCTAAGAGCTTGAATACTTCTGTGATTTTTGTTTTGTTTTACTTTAGTCTTAGCTAAAACAAAAATCAAAACTCCCATCTTTTTGTCTCCATACTCCTGAATCATCATCAGCCTTTCATATTGTGACATATTTACTGTAAATTCCTGTAAAATAAAGATCATGAATTAAGCTCTGAAAGTAGTAACTGTGGTTTACACAGACCTTGGTAATACATTTTTGGCTCCAAACCTGCCAGCATTTCAGCACATATCTAACTTTACTCACATGAGTAATTCCAGTGAACTACTCCTGTGTGTTAGTGTTTGCAGGCTTGGGGTATTTATTTTTAACTAATTTCCAGCAAAAGTGGCTTAGGGATGTGTGTGTGTTTTGTTGTATAATGATTTACCTGTTCTGAGAGATTTTCATTTTGTATTCATTGAAGAAGAAAACAGTTTGGCCACTGCTAACTGTTGTTTTTAGGGGGAAAAACGCCCAAAAGATTACGTTTTGCAAAAGCAACACCGTACCTGTACATATAAGACATTAGACAATAGTTTCCCCAATAAATATCAAATTAATTATATGCATGGAGAATTTTCAGTTTGCAGTGGGCTTTTGAGTAAATAAGATGGATTCAGATTCTTTTAATGAACCTAAAATAACAAAACAAACACACATACGCTCACACAAAATAGAGGAAATTACCTTCTAGGATTTTCAGTCCTGCATTTTCAACAAACAAACTTACACATAGGGAAAATATACTTACAAAGCATTATCTCTAGATATTTTAACTTAATTATATAGTCAGTTTATTAGTAAAAAATGTAAAGATATGGCTAGAGAATTTGCTGTCTTGTCCATTTGCTGTTTGTGGATTAAGCAGACTCTACCTTATTCCAACAATTTGACTTTTCTAAGTTTTGCGTTGTAATTGTGATTTGTTTGTGGGGCGGGTAGGGAGCTGCTCCAGCCCCTACTGGTTAACTGAAACCGGTAAGCTTACTGATTAGCCATTTACACCTCTAATGTAGACTGTCCTATGCATCAAATGTCTGTGTTCTTTCCTGAGCAATAATATTAAAGCAGGTGGGCAGACTTGTAGGAAAGAGAGCTTTATGGATATCAGTGTAATTTAATAATTGTGCAACTGCACCAAGTTTTTGTGGTTACATGAATATTTGATAGCTGTATGCCCCCTGCCACCTCATGCAGCAGCACAGGGTGCCAGGTGGGAGCTGGCTTAAAAATCGGCTCTCCAGCAGCAGCCCCAGCCCATAGGGAGCCTGAGTTCCCTGCGGACAGAAGCGGCTCCAAGATCCCACTGAGCAGCCTCTATTTGCAGCGAGCTCGGGCCCACCGCGTACAGAGGCTACCCCAGGGCAGTAGCTCCTATCCATGGGGGTGAGAGAGCTTCTCGTGGACAGAGACTATTCTGCCATCCCACAGAGCAGCCCCTTTCCACAGGGGGCATGAACTCCCAGTGGACAGGGACTGCGCAGGCATCCCACCTTCCCTCTCTCCCTCTGTTGTTGTCTCTGATATAGAGGCAGAATGGGGGAGGTGGAGGTGGCTCTGTGAAGCTGGTTATCATGGGGAGCAGACTTTAAAGCCAGCTCCCCTTGAGTACCAGCTCCTGCCTGTTCTCCCTTTCCCTATGGGAGATGGCAAGGGGTGGGGGGAGGCAGCTCCGCAGGAGGTGATGTGTGGGGAGCTGGCTTGAAAGCCTGCTTCCCACTGTACCAGCTCCCACCTCCTCTCGCCCCTTGGTACCTCTGATACAGAGGCAGCGGGAGGAGGGAGTGCATGTAGTTGTTAGGAATTATTGATAAGCCAGGTTTATTGGTTAATCATTTACACAACTATACACTAACGTGTCTACTGCAGTGGTCCAGGAGGAGGATGATAAATGCCTTTCCTGTATCCACTGACAGAAGGAGATCATCCATCAGAGCCACTAAAGCAGTTTCAGTCCTACGTCATGGCGTGAATCTGGAGTGTGACAAGTCTAGAATCATAGCACCAGTTAAGAGGTTCTTCTTGGTAAAGTCATGTCTTTACCATGGATTTAGGCAGATGCTTAGTGAGAATCTGATTCTTCAACAGATGACCAGATTTGAACTGTACAACTTCTGCCTCTTGGTCTCCTCTTTTCAAATCTGGCAACCTGTGTCTTCTAATTCTGCAGGGTGGACTGGAGAATTAGTCTCAGTTCCTGGTTTTTGCACATTATAATACAAGTATACATGGTGGTGACCCTAATGAATGTAAAAAACACTGAAAGGCCCGGGGTAGCCTGCTGTCTCATTATCTGTCACAACAGGAAATGGCTAACTGCAGCTTTATAGAACCTTAAAACTTGGAGATGGGAATGTCTTGCTGTGTTTTCTTGTTGCCT